CTCACTGTCTCGCATATCCGAGACAATCTACACTGTATCAGAAATGTGAGACAATGGAGACTATCTCACCAATTGTGTGACAACTCCCAGTCCCTTTGAGTTTGTCATTTTGCGTGCTTTTTGGCTTCCTTTTGCATTGGATGATCTCCTCTAACTTAGATGATGTTGTTCTTCATCTTCTCTCTGTCTTGAGCTGTGTTTGAGACCTATAGGTAATTTTTAACGCCTACAGTGACCAGCTGTCAGCGAGAGGTTCGAGAACAGACTGCCTCTCGACTCGATTCTGCGAGTGGGTTGGCAAGTACCACTTTTCTAGTCGGCCTCAAAAGTTGTCGACCAGATCTTGCAGAGCCAATGAGCAAGGTCCACTTAAAATGGTGAGCTCAAGTGAGAACTTATCCGACTCGGCCCTTCGTGGGAAGGGTAGTGGCTATGCTGCTTGAGTCGTCCTGATTGGGGTGAAGTTGATTTGATGATAAGTTGACATGGGACACATGTTGACTCATGAGGGAGGATTTACACTTAGGTTATTTGATGACATGACATCAAGTAATTTGATAGAGTCTAAATTCACTACTTTATGAGCTATAATCAATGATTTTTATCATTGTTTTCATTTTGACTGATTAGCAAGTATTTCTGGAGAGATCAAAATCACGATTCTGTGAGTTATAACCCACGATTTTTTGTTATTTTTAGTCATTTTAACCATTGAAAAAAATTCTATTGTGGTCTAACTTCATGATTTCATGAACTATGACCCACAATCATTGGATTTTTTTAGTCATTTTGAACCATTCGTAAATAATTTCGCAATGGCCAAAATTCACGATTTTATGAGTTATAATTCACGATTTTTGGTCATTTTTTTGTCATTTTGACCCATTACAAAATAATTTTATGGAGTCCAAAACTCAAAATTTCATGAGCTATAATCAACTATTTTTAGTCATTTTGAGATCTTAGCAAACAATTTCATGGAGTCCAAAATTTAAGATTTCATAAGCTAGAACTCATGATTTTTTTTACCATTTTTAGTAGTTTTAACCCGTTGTCAAATAATTTCACACAGACAATTAACGATTTCATGAGCTATAACCCATAATTTTTTATTATTTTTAGTAGTTTCAACCCATTGTCAAATAATTTCATACAGACAAAAATGAAAGATTTCATGAGCTATAGCCCATGATTTTTGGCCAATTTTAGTTTCTTCAATGCATATACAAATGATTTTATGGAGTCCAAACTTCATGACTTTATGAGCTGTAACCCACGATCTTTGGCTACTTTAGTTATTTTGATCCGTTGGTGAATAATTTTACGAAGGCCAAAGTTTACAGATTCATAAGCTATAACCCACAATTTTTAAGCATTTTCAATCATTTCGACCCATTAGCAAAAAATATATTTAGGCTAATATTCACGACTTCATGAGATATAACCCATAATTTTAGTTATTTTTAGTCTTTTAAACTATTAGTAAATAAGCTTGCAAAGGCCAAAATTCACGATTATTGGTTATTTTTAGTCATCCTGGACCATTAGTAGATAATTTTGCAGAGTCCAAATTTATGATTTTATGAGCTAAAGCTCATAATTTTTTTACCATTTTTAGTCATTTGGACCCATTATCAAATACTTTCACAAAAACCAAAATTTATAATTTTATTAACTATAACCCACAATTTTTCGTCTTTTTTTTGTTGTTTCGATCCATTGGCAAATAATTTTGTGGAGTTTAAACTTTATGATATAATGAGTTATGACCCACAATTTTTTCCATTTTATAGTTGTTTTGATCTGTTGCCAATTAATTTCTTGAAAGTCAAAATTCACAATTTATGAGCTATAACCCCCTATTTTCGCGATTTTTAGTCATTTCGATATGGTGGCAAATAATTTTGCGGAGGCCAAAATTTATAATTTCATGAGCTATAACCCATGATTATTGGATATTTTTAGTCATTTCGAAACATAGGTAAATAATTTTGCGGAATCCAAATTTTAAGATCTCATAAGCAATAACCTACGATTTTTGGTCATTTTTAGTCATTTCGACCAATTGGTAAATAATTTTGTAGAGTCCAAACTCTATAATTTCATAAAGTATAACCCATAATTTTAGGTCATTTTTAGTCATTTTAACTCGTCGATAAATAATTCTGCTAAGAAAAAAATTATTATTTTGTGAGCTATAATCCATAATTTTTGTTTATTTTTAGTTATTTTGATTCATTGTCAAATATTTTTGTGATGGTCAAAATTCACGATTTCATGAGCTAATAACCCATGACTTTTGCGAGTTTTATTTTTTAGCATGTTTATAAATAATTACGTGGAGCCACACTTTACGATTTTTTTTTTTTTTTTTTGAAAGAAAAACAAGGGATATACCCTGTTCATTAAAAAACCAAAAGTATTTTTTACAAAAGAAGGATACGAAATGTATCCATAAATTGATAGATAGAAAACTTAATTTCTCTTATCTATTGATGTATGACCTTCTTCTCCCAAACATCCATGAAGATGAAGAGAGGGCCTTGCCGTCATTCATCGTTGACATGGATATAAGGGAGAACCAAAGCCGGCCATACATTTGGAGAAAAGAAATTAAATTTTCTATAGACCAATTGAAAAACAAAACAGCAACCATAAGTTTATATATACAAGCAAAAACATGATTACATCCACTATTCTAACCACTGCAGCGTGCAATTGGTTTCTCCTCCAAGACTTTTGCCAACTTAAGTGCTGCATTCCTTCTTCCTGAACCTGCCCAGTCATGTAGAGCCAATATCGAAGAGTTAATAATAGATTTAACTGAGAAAGCTTTCTGATCAAAGATAAACTTATTCCTTGAAGACCATATGAACCAACAAACTGTTGAAAAAATAGAGCGCCATATAATACCATCCAGGTTATGCAAGGATGTAACAGATAACAGGAGATCATCTATAGACTGTGGCCAACAGAAGGGTAAGTAGTAGTCACCAAAGTGTTTCCAAACTGCTTTAGCTATATCACACGAGAAGAAAATATGATTCTTAGATTCAGAGTGCATACCACATAGAACACAAACAGGATCACCTTGCCACCCTTTTTTCATGAGATTATCTTTGGTGTGTAAACGGTTCAGAGATAGAAGCCAAATGAAGATTTGAATTTTGCTAGGCAAAATTGGGTTCCATGCTGTTTTGTAGAAAGCGTATCTGATTCCTCTAGAACATAAGAAATTATAGAAAGATTTAACAGTGAAGGAACCACTAGATGTGAGAGTCCATCGAGGAATGTCCAACTGATTTGAAATATTATGCAGACTAATAATATTCAGCAGAGCAAGCTTTTCTTTATGAGAGTCAGGGGAGATGCTTCTTTTCAACAATGGTTGCCAATGCCATAAGCTATTATGGTAGTGTCCTTGACTTCTAATAGACACATTATAGGAGAAAACTAACCTGTATAAGGATGGATATAGACTTGATAGGCTATTAGATCCAACCCATTTATCCTCCCAAAATCTGATTTTGTCTCCAGAACCAAGTGACCATGTTAAGAGATTTTGAAAACCTTCCTTATTGGAGATGATATCATTCCAGAAATGAGAGTTGCAGATATTACTTTTAGCTAATTGTAAGAAAGAAGAGTTTCTGATGTAGAGGTGATGAAGGAAGGCTCCAATAAAAGATTTTCTGTCATAACATTTCCATATCCATTTGGACAGTAAAGACATATTGAAAATTTTGAGATTCTTCACTCCCAAACCTCCTTCTGATTTACTTAAACATACCTTTTCCCAATTAACCAAACATTTGAAAGGTTTTGAATCACTTTTACCTGTCCAGAGAAAATTCTTTCTAATTTTGTCAATGTCTTTGATCAACCATCCTGGAAGCTTATAAAAAGACATATAATATAAAGGAATTGAAGAAAGAACTGAATTCAATAAAACAAGTTTTCCTCCCAATGATAAGCAGTTACTCTTCCAAGATGCAAGCTTACGATGCAAATTATCTAACAAAGGTTGCCAATCTGATTTAGATAATTTTCCTCCTTTCAAAGGCAATCCCAGATACTTGATTGGGAGTTTGTCTAATTTGCAGTTTAAACTTGAAGCTAGGGAGACACCTCTGTTCTGAATATTCCCAAAGTAAATCAGGGATGATTTTGTGAAATTTATGCCCAGTCCAGAGATATCTTCAAAGATATATAAGATTGTCTTAAGAACAGATATGTCTTTGATAGAACTTTTAATAAAAATAAGAGTGTCATCTGCAAATTGTAAGCTTCTAATAAGATTTAGAGGCTCCTTAATGTGTAAAGTAGATAATGATCCTTCTTCCACATTGCACATAATCATTCTACTCAAGACATCAACTGATATGTTAAACAACAATGGAGATAGTGGATCTCCTTGTTTTAGACCTGATATGTTATATTCATACTTACCGTATGCAAATATTCAAATCATATCAATATCTGCAGCTTTGAATGTAAACTCTGATTCGTATATGCTTCTGAATATTGCGGATGCATATATGAGTTTTTCCTTCCGAAGTAAAATTATCTTTACTTCCCTATCAATCCTCAATAAGGGAATACGGATATGACAAATATCCATATTGACCTTTTGCACCCACAAGCAAAAGATTTCTCCGCTAGCAGTGACCGAGAGGCGGTCACGAAATGCTTTGACAAACTAATTTACATCGCACCGACGTAGGAATTATGTTGCGTACATGCATTGCGTGGTTCGCTTAGCTTGAAGTGCTCACTCGCAGTGAACCGGAATTCTCGGTCGACATCAACGAGAGACAAAATATCCAGCTGATTTATTACCCCGTTGAACTTGGTAGTGATGTTGACTGATTTGGTCCATACACCTAGATAGAGAGGGGTTGATGTAAGTTTGCTAAAAAACCCCACTTTTAAAAAAATCCCCCCTCCCCCTCCCCTCAACCTCTTTGCTCTCCTCCCCTTCCAAACCCGATCATACTTCCCATCACACTTGCATTTTGCATCACTTTTTATTTACTATTTACTAGCAGCAGTTAGTAACCTAGAGCCCGTTAGTTACAGTACCTTTGTGAAATATGAAATATTAGTGTACTATCTTTACAATACTGCAGGGAAAATAAATATGGGCTGACTATTGGACTTTCTTATACTGATTATACTAGTGTTTGACAAGTTGAAAGCAAGATTATGATCATCTAAACTTCATTTCTGAGGTTCTACTGTTCAAGTTTATTATAGCTTTGCAAATTTTAACAGCAAAAAGCAGTTGTGTCCTTGTAGTATTCATGTGAAATTTGTATCAAAGTGAGCTCATTGAAACAAAAAATAACTTTTAAAAACAAACCGGATTACTTCCAAACTGATGATACACAATTAATACATTCAAGAACAATGCAGTGTCAATATCACATTCACTCTTGTAAAATACAAAATAAGGTGTTCAAGATCTACAGAAGCACGTAACAATCAACATTTATTTTGTCTGCACAAACCCTAAGAGGAAAGCTTCTTATTCACGAGTAGCATTAAGCAGTCACATATTCATCTCCTTAAAGGTCTCAAACCTAGCCTCTTTGTCTGAGAACTTAGTCTTAGAGTAGAAATTGAGATAGTCTTTGAAACGATAACCATTAGGATAAAGGAACTTTGGAGCTGGGGAAATGATGGCATTGCCCCCAGGATTATAGAACGTAGCAATAGATAGACGACTCCCATCCTTGTCAGCAAGAACACGATGCAAAATACTCTTATATATACCATTACTCACCACTTCCAATTGATCTCCAAGGTTCACAAAGATCCTGTTTTCTTTCGTGGGAGTAACTGGGACCCACTCTCCATCCTTGAAGAACTCGAGTCCTGGCACTGTGTCATCCTGGAGCAAGAGTATGATTCCACCGGCATCAGTGTGGGCTCTGAGCCCTATAACTAGATCTGGCTTTGAGCATTGTGGATATTTTGCCACTTTTGTACCCACACACGGTTCTGAAAATGCATTCTTTATGTAGTTCTTCTCTAAGCCAAGGTTTTCACTCATGCCTTTTGCGAGCGTCTCAGCCACCATGATCAGTTGATCAACATAATCCTTCATTCCTTTGCTGTTTGGATAAATTAGCGATCAATATAGTTTAAGCCTTAAAATTTGTTAAGGTATTATGATACTTACCAAAGTTTTTCATTTAGGTTTGGAATGTCGCTGAAATTAGGGTTTGGCTGATGGCGAATGAAGAAGCTGCTCTCCCAGTCGATATCAGAGATTTTGTATTCAGATTCAGACTCCAATTCTTTAGCCCACTCTGACTTATAGAAATTTTCCTTCAGGTTCTTTTCATAGTGCTGGTTTGTGAGTTCCGTCACCTTTTCCATAAGTTGTTTGCTTATCCCATGATTCTCAATCTGCATTTAATGAAAAGTTGAAAATTTAAACCATAGTAAGCAATCAGATATTTATATTCTTGGGTTAATTGCGGATAGACCCCCATATTGGTGCCAAATTGAACGCACTACACCTATATTGTTGCCAAATTGAACGTACTACACCTATATTGTTGCCAAAAGAGTTATATTGTTGTGGCAGATAGACTCCATGAGTGAAAATCTATTGTTGCGGATAGACCCCCTGAAAAAGGTCATAAAATTTTCACCCAGGGAGTTTGCAACATTAGAACTACAGTAAGGGGGGTATTCAGCTCAATTTGACCATAGTATAGGGGTCTATTTGCAATTAACAGTATACTCTACTTACCCAAAAGAAACCCCACTTAGCACAAGCTTCATGTAGCACCGACAGTGTCTCGTTCCTCCTCTTTCCATTTAGCTCTTCAAGGTTGATCACCGGGATCCCCATAACTCAAAACTCGGTTGATATTCTGCGTTTTTTTTTTGCTCAATTTGACGTGCACAAGGAATATTTATAGTGTTATTAGGATGTAGTACTGGTAAACTTAGGTCCAAGTGCAGCTAATCGGTTACATGTGATGCTAGATTTTATATTCTCATCTCCTTGTTTAATGTTTATTCAATCCTTTGCTTTGCTTGTACTCCTTCCATGTTGGTCCTTGATGGTCTGCTTTGATATTCAATTCGAAGTAATATGTCAGAAATGGGGTTGCAATCCACAAACTACTCTCAGGCTCCCATTGGTTTGCTTTCTCTCTCTTGAATAATTGCATTTCTCTAACTAATTCCCTTTCTATTATGTCCATGTTGCTGTTTAAAATGTAGGAAGAAAGTGATGGATTGTTTCTTGTATTCCTGTGGGCGGAGCTTAATTCAGTTGATAGGCCCACTTGTTTATGATCCAAGTTGGTAGGTGATGCACCTCCGTGGCTTAGATTTTATGCGGAGAAGATCACGGGAAATTTTTGGATGGGTTGCTCCTTCCTTTACCAGTAGAAGCCAAACAGTAAAATAAGAGATGGATTTTAGCTGAAGCTATTGTTGTTCTTTTGTCTGTTGCACTCAAAATTCTACCCTTATTTAGTTAATTTTTATAAGCAATGCCAAACTTAGTGTAGATATTATGTTATATTCATACTTTTTTTTTTTTGAAAGAAAAACAAGGGATATACCCTGTTCATTAAAAAACCAAAAGTATTTTTTACAAAAGAAGGATACGAAATGTATCCATAAATTGATAGATAGAAAACTTAATTTCTCTTATCTATTGATGTATGACCTTCTTCTCCCAAACATCCATGAAGATGAAGAGAGGGCCTTGCCGTCATTCATCGTTGACATGGATATAAGGGAGAACCAAAGCCGGCCATACATTTGGAGAAAAGAAATTAAATTTTCTATAGACCAATTGAAAAACAAAACAGCAACCATAAGTTTATATATACAAGCAAAAACATGATTACATCCACTATTCTAACCACTGCAGCGTGCAATTGGTTTCTCCTCCAAGACTTTTGCCAACTTAAGTGCTGCATTCCTTCTTCCTGAACCTGCCCAGTCATGTAGAGCCAATATCGAAGAGTTAATAATAGATTTAACTGAGAAAGCTTTCTGATCAAAGATAAACTTATTCCTTGAAGACCATATGAACCAACAAACTGTTGAAAAAATAGAGCGCCATATAATACCATCCAGGTGATGCAAGGATGTAACAGATAACAGGAGATCATCTATAGACTGTGGCCAACAGAAGGGTAAGTAGTAGTCACCAAAGTGTTTCCAAACTGCTTTAGCTATATCACACGAGAAGAAAATATGATTCTTAGATTCAGAGTGCATACCACATAGAACACAAACAGGATCACCTTGCCACCCTTTTTTGATGCAAGGATGTAACAGATAACAGAAGATCATCTATAGACTGTGGCCAACAGAAGGGTAAGTAGTAATCACCAAAGTGTTTCCAAACCGCTTTAGCTATATCACACGAGAAGAAAATATGATTCTTAGATTCAGAGTGCATACCACATAGAACACAAACAGGATCACCTTGCCACCCTTTTTTCATGAGATTATCTTTTGTGTGTAAACGGTTCAGAGATAGAAGCCAAATGAAGATTTGAATTTTGCTAGGCAAAATTGGGTTCCATGCTGTTTTGTAGAAAGCGTATCTGATTCCTCTAGAACATAAGAAATTATAGAAAGATTTAACAGTGAAGGAACCACTAGATGTGAGAGTCCATCGAGGAATGTCCAACTGATTTGAAATATTATGCAGACTAATAATATTCAGCAGAGCAAGCTTTTCTTTATGAGAGTCAGGGGAGATGCTTCTTTTCAACAATGGTTGCCAATGCCATAAGCTATTATGGTAGTGTCCTTGACTTCTAATAGACACATTATAGGAGAAAACTAACCTGTATAAGGATGGATATAGACTTGATAGGCTATTAGATCCAACCCATTTATCCTCCCAAAATCTGATTTTGTCTCCAGAACCAAGTGACCATGATAAGAGATAGTTGCAGGCATTGCAATTTACTAATTGAAAGAAAGAAGCTTTTCTGATGTAGAGTTGATGAAGGAGAGCTCCAATAAAGTATTCTCTGTCATAGCATTTCCATATCCATTTGGACAGTAAAGACATATTGAAAATTTTGAGATTCTTCACTCCCAAACCTCCTTCTGATTTACTTAAACATACCTTTTCCCAATTAACCAAACTTTTGAAAGGTTTTGAATCACTTTTACCTGTCCAGAGAAAATTCTTTCTAATTTTGTCAATGTCTTTGATCAACCATCCTGGAAGCTTATAAAAAGACATATAATATAAAGGAATTGAAGAAAGAACTGAATTCAATAAAACAAGTTTTCCTCCCAATGATAAGCAGTTACTCTTCCAAGATGCAAGCTTACGATGCAAATTATCTAACAAAGGTTGCCAATCTGATTTAGATAATTTTCCTCCTTTCAAAGGCAATCCCAGATACTTGATTGGGAGTTTGTCTAATTTGCAGTTTAAACTTGAAGCTAGGGAGACACCTCTGTTCTGAATATTCCCAAAGTAAATCAGGGATGATTTTGTGAAATTTATGCCCAGTCCAGAGATATCTTCAAAGATATATAAGATTGTCTTAAGAACAGATATGTCTTTGATAGAACTTTTAATAAAAATAAGAGTGTCATCTGCAAATTGTAAGCTTCTAATAAGATTTAGAGGCTCCTTAATGTGTAAAGTAGATAATGATCCTTCTTCCACATTGCACATAATCATTCTACTCAAGACATCAACTGATATGTTAAACAACAATGGAGATAGTGGATCTCCTTGTTTTAGACCTCTTTTGCATTTAAAGAAACTGGATGGGGATCCATTAACAAGGACTGCACAATTTGAAGAAGAAATAATATGATAAATCCAGGAACACCATTTATCTCCAAAACCTCTTGCTTTTAGCAAATTTATAAGGAAACTCCAACTAATGGAGTCAAAAGCTTTAGCAAAATCAATCTTAAACATGGCCACTTCTTTTTTCCTTTTAGAACAAAAGTGAATCATTTCATTAGCCACTAAGATTGAGTCAAGTGTAGATTTCCCTGTTTGGAAAGCAGATTGAGTAGGGGAAACAAGATCCTTCAGAAGAGGTGATAATCTCATGGCTAAAATCTTAGAAAAGATTTTAAAAATACAGTTTATCAGACTGATTGGCCTAAAGTCCTTCACAGTAGGACAGAATTTTGATTTTGGAATAAGAGTTATAAGAACCTTATTCACACGATGAAGAGATGATGGATTCTGACCAAAATAGTTTATTAGAGCAACAAGATCATCTTTGATAGTATCCCAGAAATATTGGTAGAAAAGAACAGAAAAACCATCTGGACCAGGAGCTTTGTTGGGATTCATACTGAAAACCGCTTGCTTAACTTCTGATTCTGAAAAGGAAGCATCAAGAGATGAAAGATTTGGAGTTGTCTCAGGATACAAGATGGACCAGTTGATAGACATTTTACTTTCATGATTCTGCCCAAAGAGTTGAAGATAATAATCATGAAAAGCCTTTGATATAGAATCTTTATCTGAAATATCCGATCCAAGATGATGAATAGAAACAATATGATTAGCTCTTTTGTGAAGAGAAGCAATCTTATGAAAATAAGATGTATTGGAATCACCCTCTTTTAGCCATTGAATGCGAGAACGTTGTGACCAATATGTTTCTTCCTCTTGCATGATAGAAAGGAAAGCAGATTGATAAGATTTCCTATCTTCAAACTCTGATGGAGATAAGGTTCTCTGCTCTTCAATTAAATCCAAGGAGTTGATTTTAGATAACAAGGATGATTTCCTAGAAAATAAGGAACCATAGACATGTTTTCTCCACCACTTAATTCTTCTCTTTAAAAGCTTTAGCTTCTTAATGAAAATGTCAGCTGGGTTTCCCTTACAAAGAAAAGATTTCCAAGAGTCTTGAATGAATGGAACAAAAGTATGATTATGAAACCAGCTTTTTTCAATTCTAAATAAAGGTGGAATAGGTTTGATTCCACCAATATCTAGAATTAAAGGACAATGATCTGATCCTACAGAAGGAGGAGAGTACTGAAGACTCATAGGATGAACCTTATCCCATTCTGCACATATTAGGAATCTATCCAGCCTTGCCATAACAGGATTCTGTCGTTTATGAGTAATAACCCACACTTTACGATTTTATGAGTAATAACCCACACTTTTTTGTTATTTCTAGGCGTTTCGACCCGGTGCGGAGGACAAAATTCACAATTTTGTGATTGTCAAAATTCACAATTTTTTGAGATATAACCCATGATTGTCTATTTTTAATTGTTTCGACCCGTTGACAAATAATTTTGTGGCGACCAAAATTCACGATTTAGTAAGTTATAACTCATGATCTTTAGTTATTTTTAGTCTCATTGTCAAATAATATCGTAGTGGCCAAATTTCATGATTTTATGAGCTAATAACCCATGACTTTTTTCCATTTTTATTCTTTTCGATCTGTTAGCAAATAATTTCGTGGAGTCCAAACTTCACGTTTTTATAAGCAATAATCCATGAAATTTTGCCATTTTTAGTCATTTCGACCCATTAACAAATAGTTTTGCAAAGATAAATTTTCATGATTTTATGAGCTATAACCCGTGATTTTTTGCCATTTCTAGTCATTTAATTCATCAATAATTTGGCAGTGGCCAAAATTCAAGGTTTTGTAAGATATAACTCATGATTTTTAGGTTTTTTTAGTCATTTCAACCCGTTGACAAATAATTTCGCTAATGCCAAAATTCATGATTTTATCAAATATTATCCATATTTTATGGTCATTTTAGTCGTTATAAACCGTTGTCAAAAATTTTCATGATGGCTAAAATTCACAATTTCATGAGCTATAATCTATGATTTTTTGTCACTTTTAGTCATTTCAAGCCGCTGTTAAATAATTTCATGGTGGATAAAATTCATAATGTTGTAAGCTATAACCCATGATTTTTACCATTTTTAGTCATTTCAGCCTATTTGCCAATCATTTATGGATGTCGCAGTTCACGATTTCATGAGCTATGACCCGTGACTATTAGACATTTTTAATCGTTTCGAACTATTAGTAAAAAATTCTATAGAGTCCAAAGTTCACGATTTCATGAGACGAGTAACCAATATGATGACACACATATTATAAAATCATGAGATTGGAAGCAACTGCTCTAGATACTTGATACGACAACTAACAAATATCACTTATGAAATGGCTCGTAATTCTCCTTTGAGTCAATTTACCTAGTCTATGTCGTTTCTCACATCTGTAATCCTCTTTTAATACAACGAATAACAAATACGACCACTTGCATATCATGAATTAATGAGATTGTAGACAAGTGCTCTAAATATTTTATACAACAACTACTATATATTAAATACGACAACTAACAAATACGACTATGAAATGATTTGTCATTTTCCTTTGAGTCAATTTTCCTTGCCTATGTTGTTTCTTACATTCGTAATCCACCTCTTTTAATACAACGAGTAACAAATATGATGACTCACACATTATAAAATTAATGAGATTATAGTCTAACTTCTCTATATACTTAACATGATAATTCGTAATATTATTAAATACGACAACTAACAAATACTACATATGAAATGATTTGTTATTCTTCTTTGAGCCAATTTATCTTGTCCATGTTTTCTCTCACATTTATAATTCTCTTTTAATACAACGAGTAACAAAATACAAATACAACCCGCATATTACCAAATTAATGAGATTGTAGACAACTATTCTAAATATTTGATATGACAACTAGTATATTATTAAGTATGATAACTAACCAATATGGCATACTAGTAAATTATTAAGTCAACTACTTACCTTTCACTTCATCGTCATTCCTCAATTCATTCATCACCGTTTAAGAAATAACAAAATAATAATAATAATAATAATTAAGTTAAACTAACTTAAAAATGATTAATTGTAACAACATTGACGTCTATTTTTCGTTCTCTTCTTTCGAATTTAACGCCGTGCCGTATCATTCCAACAAATGTAAACCGAATTAATTTAATTTAGGATAAACTAGTTGTTTTTGAAAAAATCATTTTGGCTTAGTATTCTAATTTAAAAGTTGGAGGCACAAAATAGAAGGATGAGTCCAATTTGGATATTAAAACACCATTAGTAAAAAAAAAAGAAAGTTAATATCATAAAATAATTATGATCCGAGAGACCTTTACTCCAAGCCTTTCCGCAAAGGATAAGGGAAAAGGCTAAAAACGAATTGCGGGCTCAATTTCATCTGGAAGAAGTAACAGTATATTTGCAAATATTGGCCGGACCGCTAGGCCCACTTACGAATATGGGCCAGCACGATTTGTAAACAGTATGTTGGTAATATTTGGGCCGGACGGCACCTGGTCTCTATTCAGTATTGTGAAAAAAATGAAATACAAAATTTCCAACTTCATCATCTTCCCCATATCCTAGGGTTTCTCTCTTCTCCTCGATTTCTTCCAATCCCTCTCTAATCTCAATAATCCATGGCCATAGATCTAAACATCGAAGGCCGCCACGCTCTCCTCTTCGACGACGACGCCAGCGCCGCCTTCGTCGACTCACGCGCAGCGCTCGTGCCGTGGACCGGCGACGAGTCTCTCTTAATCGATCGCTACGATGTCCGTCATCTCCTCGATCGGATCCCTCCTCGTTCGAAGAAGCTGCGGTTCGTTGAAGACACCGGCGGCGTTTCTCAATCCGAACTCGATCGCGAGAGATTCTTAGATCTCCCTTTGAATAACGAAGATGAAGGTTCGTTCTGATCTTGTGTTAGAATTATTGGTGGTTGGTTTTAGCTATTATTATGATTTTAATTCGTATTTGTTCTTTCTGGTGCAATTTTGGTTCAAAGAATTCATCTAGATAAGTTTGTCAAATTGAAAGGTTGAATTGTACACCGCATCAGTTTCTAGCTGATAGTATCCATAAAAATTTAGTATTTAAAACTGGCATTTTGGAGAAAACACACAAGTTGTTTATCTATTTACAACAATATACTGAGCTATGAAACATGACAGAATATTAAGAAATAAAGAAGCAAAGAGTGAGATTTTTCATCCTTTTAGAAGAATGAAATATTGGATCCCTCTACTTGCACCTGCATATAATATGAAACAGACATGATTAAGCTTGTACGATTTTTTTTAATCGTAAGGAGGCAGCTGTGGATGGTAGAAGTTTCTTATAGAACAGGAGTGTTTTTGGAGATAAAGAGGGATAAAGAAAGAACGTCAATTAAAATAAGTTAGCATTTTTTATATACCTGTTGCTATTCAAAGTTTCATATCACGATCATCCTTCCTTTATCTCTTACCATATTAATGCTCATCAGTTTTTTTTTTTTTCCTTTTTGAAATATGGTCGTTCCCGACACAAACACGGGTGACTGGGGAAGTGATTATTATTGGATTAGGTTGGGATGGATGCAAGTTTTGTGGGCTTAGATGGATCACTTGATTTTTACAAACGTGCAGATTGTTTCAGGAGGATCCAGATCCTCTCCAATTAGGTGGTAATTAGAGAGGGTCCAATTCTCTCAATTCTTGCTGGTAATATCACTTCCAACAGATGAGATCACACCACGTTAGATTTCTATTGTTATCTTAAAAATCACTTTGGCCTTGAAAACCAACAGTAAACTTGAAAACCGCTATAGTAAAAACCACTAATTGTTATAGTGAAAAATCTTAGGTGGCATGATCTTATTCATTGGAATTGAGTAGATGGTAAGAATTGAAAGAATTGGACCATCTTCAATTACTACCTAATTGGAGAGAACCTGAAATAGTTTCAGGAGAAGAGGATTCTAACAAAATGGGTGGAATTTCTCCCTTCAGTACCTTACATAAGTTCCATTTCCTTTGCACGGTTGCACCTATACTATTTTCAAATATTAAGGTGCTAAAGTATGCAGATGCAGCAGTGTGAAGGATGAACACCTTAATCCTCTCCTATTTGTCATGGGAAGAAAAAAAACAAGATTATTCCTTAATCATGAGACATTATGCAGCGACAGTCTCGAAACTACTTGCATGGTGTCGATAGTTTCTTCATGTTCACGCTTTTTAATTAATTTAAAACTATTATTATTATTATTATCTTCTTGCAAGTAACACGTTTTATTTGCTGAGTTGCAAACACTAATTAGTAACAATGATAACTGGGTTTTTCAATTCTAAATTATTTTATTTTATTTTTACATACTTAAGTGTGGTAAAATTCGTCTAGGAGGATGTCATGAGTTGCTGCTCAAATGTCGGTATGAGTTATTAATAGTGTTTGCTGAGATGTGTCAGTGCCACAAACAAGGGATTGTGTGCTAGATTATATTGAATTTGAATTTCTGAGTTTGCAGGAGGATGCTTAATTTACTTCATGAACATCTCTGTCAGTATCAAGTAAGAAACGTCTTAACCTTATTATAATATTACATATAATTCTCTAGCAGATGACATATCCTAACTTAATCAAGGTTTCATGTTCAGTACCTAAGAAATATTGCTTTTACTAATGCAGAAACAACTGAAAGATCAGAAGCAACAGGTTCCGGCTCTTATCAAGCTGTTCCTTTTTCTTATGGAAACAATGGCGGTTTAGCTGATCCCAACAGCTATGGACAAGATCATTCCTCTTACCATCCACCCTTTTCAGTGCCTACAAGCCTAATTAGCAACCTGGTAAGTGTAACTCGTATGGCTTCAATTTTTCGCATGACCTTTTTTTCTTTGTCGGATAACATAGATAATCTTGCTCGTGGATTGCTATTAATATTTCTCCAGTAAACCAGCATTAGTTACCCAAGGTGTGTTTCTTCTCCTATGGCTCACATTTCTAAATTTCAGATTCTTGGAGCGGAGATGAAGTTCTTACTAAGGTTGCCATTCATGGGCACCATGTTTCCTTGTGATATGTCATGACGTAAGGCTTGGTCAGGTGGGATTAGAAATTTAGAATGATATAAGTGTTACAAACCGCCGAATTATGTAAATGCCATTAGCTTAGGTCTTTTTGTTTTTTACTCTTATATTTACTTCAATTAATTAAGAAATCTCCGTATAAATGTCTAATTTTCTTTCTTAAATCACATTTTATTTCTTATGATTATTTATTTATTTTTCCATTCTGAAATGAAATATATTTCTGGTTTTTTTCCCAGCCTCCTACAGAGAAGTTGCATCAAATCATGGCAAGAACTGCTTTATTTGTGAGTGAGCATGGAGGCCAATCAGAGATTGTCTTGAGGGTGAAGCAGGGAAATAACCCAACATTTGGATTTTTGATGCCCGACAATCAGCTTCATCCATATTTTCGCTTCCTTGTTGATCATCCCCATCTTTTAAAAACTGATAACACGCAGGAAGATAAGAAATTAGAGGATCAGGAGAGCGAGGCACTTTCTGCTGCAGGGGGGGCATTATCACTACTTGGATCTCTATATGGAACTGGCGAAGATGACGATAATACTCATCAACAAAAACCTGAAGAAGGGGAGGCCACAAAACCAAATGCTGGTAGAGATTCATTGTCACCTCATAAATCAGTAAGAGAAGAGTATGCTCCTTCCGCATCTATAGAAGACAAAGAAACTATAAAGCGTGCAATTTCTGTTCCTACTAAGGAGAGGGGCCTTTTACTACCCAAAAAGAACCACTTTTTAAATTCTGGATCCATTACTAAGAAAGTAGAAGCTGCTACTTCACAGCATGGCATCACAAACAGAACGAATTCTCAACCAAGTAAAACAGATGCCAAACCACTAATCTTGGAGCCTCCGTCTTTCTTAAAGAAAGCAATAGATAAGATTGTAGAATTCATTCTTAAAAACGGAAAAGAATTTGAAGCAGTCCTCATTGAGCAAGATAAAACAGCAGGAAGATTTCCGTTTCTTCTGTCAGCCAACCCATTTAACCCATATTATCTCAAGGTTCTCGAAGAAGAGCAACTCCTAGATATTGTATATTGTGGAAAATCCAGGAGTTGAAAAGCTAACATGTGACTCGCACTTTTTAAATAACTAACAAGATGTGTGGCTCTGAAGGTTATTTTTGAGATCTTTTCTAAAACGTTTCTAGTTAACAACTTTGTTATTGATGTAAATTGTTTCTCCAATTAGTTGTGCAAGATTTAGTTTTCCATGGATAATGGTAGTCATGGTTTTGTGTTTGGTCTCTATTATCCTAGGTTACACAAACACTTCATTTTGGATGTTGTATTCATGTCGGACACGTGTCAGACACAGATTTACCATGGACATGCCATGGACACATGTAGGTCAAAGCAAAACCTGAGTTCCCCATTACTTTAAACCCTAAACTAGTTTCTTGGGTATATCGAGCTCAAAACCAAAAAGTATTTGAACATAAAAACGGAAACTGTTACTTAAGATTTGAAAAATATCCATCATATCCCGTGCGATGAAAACTAAAGTTTTGTTGTTAAACCTTAATTATTAGTTGGTTTAACTTGATTCATAATTGTTATAGATAGTAAAAGAAACATACAAATGTTATGGGTATTTTAATTCAATATTGATCTAATGTAAATATTATGTGTGTGTGTATCCGTGTCCCCATATCCTGCCTTTTACAGATTTGCCGTGTCCCGTGTCTGTATCCATGTTCAGGTCCGCAACCGCACCCGTATCCATGCAACCTCGCTATTATTTTCACTCATCGTTGCGTTTTAACTTTCTGATGCGATTATGATGATATCAACTTCAGATATTACGACTATATTACAACACTTCCTCTCCATCTTATATGACTTCTGAAACTCCTGACTATGAATTCCCGAATGTTCTGTGTGGCAAGACGTGCATGCTATTAACTCTGTGGTTCGGTTATTATTTAAATCTCTCTGTTTTCCCATTAAGATCAAATAATGTTTTTAACCCCATCTCAAGCTCTGAGACTTGTCTGTAGAAGATTTTTCAAAATCAATGTTGTCATGCTTCTTTCTTTTCCTTTGCATCCTTGATTTTAAGGTTCCTACCGATCACTTGTATACACTAGAATGGCCATATGTCTTTTCCAATGTTACATGGCTGGCGTTACGTACGCGGATACGGGACGACAAATTTGTAAAAGGTAGGATACAATGACACAATTACATATTGAAATTTGAAATTAGTAAATTGTATAATATGGCTTTTTTTAATGTTATGAAAAACTAAGATTTCTCTAATATTTTTATGTTTCATTTATTAAGTAGATTATATATTTGGGAAATCATTCCGTTTTTTACTAGATGCGTAACGACACTTTAAAACCACACTTCTGAACTGGGTATGTGCTGAAATGAACCCGACCCCTATAAAGAGAGTTGTAGCAAGTGGATGTGAAGTGTAAGATATATGTCTAAGAAGGGTACGGTGAATGTTTTAAACTAAAACATGTCTTACATAATTGGGTACACGCTTGAATAAGTGTATGCATATTCAAGTAGTGTCCAAATAGTATTCAAGGATTGTCAGAATCGGACATGTGTCGTACACAAACACAAGAGCCCAGACGAAAGTGTCGGGGTAAACTACATCTTCAAAAAGTGAAGCCTATTTTAGCAGTCCTTGCTGCAGGACTGCTATGACATTTGCATGTAGATAATGCATGAGCTAGTATAAGAAACTTTTTGGTTGCAGCTGGAAAAGTGAATTGCATTCAAAATGAGTATAGCTCTCTTGCTTACATTATGCATCCTGTTCATTTGCAGTCAAAATCACCAAGCAAGAAACCCTTAGATAAACGGAAAAGAAGATCCCAAGAACCATCTGTCAGTGAATCCACCGCTGACGAGGAACTTGAAGATCGATACCTACATCCTCAAAGAAAGGATAAATTCAAAATGACAATTGGGTCCAAAAAGGAATCAAACGACCGTCCCACAGAACCCATTAAGAGATCCGGAGTAACAACCGACGAAGCTGCAGCCATAGTTCTTGCAGCAACAAGAGGTCGAAGCCCAGCATTTCAAAATTCATCAGCTGCTGATTCTGAATCAGCCCAAACATCAAATATCCTCAAACAAATTCCTAAACCTCCTGTTTCAATTGCTAACGCCATTGCAAAAACTGCAGCAATTGCAACTGCCAGCGAGGCTGATTCTTCTGAGGCAACCCTCACGAAAGAACAAAAGCTCAAGGCCGAAAGGCTGAAAAGAGCTAAGATGTTTGCTGCTATGATTAAAAGTGGTGTTAACCCGACATCTCAATCGGTGCACTCTACCGGTACTCAAAATGAATCTGTGGAGAATCATGAAGAAAGAGAAGGCAGTTCTGTGCCTTTTGATGCAGAATTTTCAGGCAAAGATAGAAACTATCGAAAGAGACATCATTCAAGGTCAAGGGACGAAGAAGAAGAAGCGGAAGAGGATGAAGACTCAGATGAGGATCATAAGCACTCGAGAAAGAAGCATCATAAACATCATCATCGTCATCATAAGCATCGCCATCATCATCATCGGCGTCATAAGAATCACAGTGATTCAGAGAGTGAAAACAAGCATGAGAGGAGTTCGAGGCATCGTCATAGGCATAAGAAACGTGAATCATCTGAAGATGAGGAAAGAGAGAGGTCTCATAAGCATAGGAGAAAGCATAGATCTCCTTCTGAAATTGAAGAGGGTGAGATTGAAGTGGAGACTAAGGATGCCGTAGATTCTCATGTTGAAGAAACGGATGCCAAGGTATCAGAGATTACTGAGGTTCCTAGTGACCTGAGAGCCAAAATCCGAGCTATGTTGTTGGAAACCGCATGAGCTAAGGTTTTTAGCATAATATTGTCGATGTTGTATGAATGTTATTTTCTTTGCTATCAATTGCATAGAATCCTGCAACCCTTTGTTGTATGATCCAATGTCTGTTTATTTTCTCAAGAATTTTATGTGCAAATGCTATAAATATTCGAAATTCTTTGGCACGTATTATAAGCTCGAATAGAATTGATATTGTTTTATGCAAATTATTTGACATGTAAATTGAAGGATCAGCAATGTTTCTTGTAATATTCGACGGAAACTCGTTCATCCACTGTCATGTTGTTTGATCTGTAATATTGTAGTTTATAATAATTTTGGGAGTTGTTTTTGCCTTCTCTCTAAAGTTAAAAATGATGCTGATATTTTTTTTATTAATAGAAAGTTGTAAATAAATGATTTATGGCAGTAAGTTGGAAAAGTTTCAGCTAACCATCACAGCCGGTAACAACTGTTTTGGTGAGATTTGTCTAATTGGCTGCAACTCCAATATTTAATGACTTTCATTTTTTAAGGCAACACATCTCTAATCTTTTACGGACCATCTTAGCTATAATTTCTGTCGATAGTCAAATGTCAACAGAAGCCTAATCTAATCACAAAACAGAGCGACAATTTTACAGCATTTCGGAAATTTTACTGATATTAAGATCGTGCATTATGGCATCAAAGTGGAATATTGTTTTACCGAAACATATCTCAGTGTGACCACAGCCATGATTTTTAATTTTTAATATATATATATTTTTCTTTTTCCACCTAATTCTTTTTTTACATATATGTGCTATAGTTAGGATGATGGCATGAATCTCCCATTGATATCTTACCATATTAGCTGTTGGCACTCCTTGTCAAGCTTCTTGTAAAACTCAATAAAACAAACAAACAACTCACCGCGGGTGATGGGGACGGTTGAAAGGTTCTAATATGATTTTCACGGTCTTGGTTTGAATTCTGGACTAGGTTAACAAAAAGAAAAAGGACAAAAAGAAACCTAACTAAACTACACTCTCCAACTCACTTCTATACTAACAGGCACAAATGTTTGGGGTCGTTTAACCCGAATTGCATCAAAGTTAGTGAGTCATCAAGGGCGTCACAAATCACAATACTTTGGTGCCACAGTCTTGAAATAGTTTAGAGAGTATACTCTAGTTAGTACTACCCTTTCTTTTCATTCAATTGGTGTTTTGATAAAGAAAAATTCCTTAATGACCAAAAATATGAGACCAACAGGGGGGACATGTGAGATGTCCCCCCTATTGCATAATGAGCTGATCATTATTAATGATGACCAGCTTATTATGCAATAGGAGGGGGGTCACTTCACATGTCCCCCATGTTGATCTCATATTTTGAGTCCATATAGCAAAACTTTTTGATAAAAATATGTACTCCTTACAACTTTTCTCTCCCTCAAACACTATAAAAACTGTTGATAATGGCTTGAATTTGGCCAAACATCACAGGACCAATTTTGTTTTCAGAACACAAAGTCTGACTTTGGGTTATTATTGGAGGTCGTTGTCGAGTCATTATCAAGTCACCTCTTTTCACTACTCAAATCAACTATGTTCAACAATTGCGACTGCAGAAGAAATTTTGTGGAAGGTCATTGTCATTGATCACTTCGGGTAAAGAAAGACAATATTGATGTGCCCCCCTGTTGATTAGAAGAGAGATCACATTCTCTCTTAAAACTCTCAGTATGTTATATCAAACTAGAAGTGAGCTCTCAAAATTTTGTAAAAGTGTTGAAACTCAGAGAGAAATAAAATTAAGCCCCCTCTTGCCGTGGACGTAGATCAATTTGATCGAACCACGTAAACATTGTGTAAACATTGTGTGTTTGTGGTTGTTCTATTTTCTGGTTTTGTGTTTAAATTATCCCAACAAAAACCTCTCATCTTCCAACATCCACCAAAATCCTCCCGAACCTCAACGCCGCCATCACCCAAGCCAAAAAAAACTCGTCAGAAAAGCCAAAGCAGCCAACAACATCAGACGAGCAGCGGCTGCAGCGTACCTCAATGTGTGCGCGTCGACGAGTACAGCGTTTCCATTGAATCTGATGATCTAGTGCTGGAGGTGATCAGTTCGGGCTCAGACCCGGCGGAGGAGATTGAGACTGATCTCGACCCGGCCCTGATCTCGATTGACATGTGTAGAGACTGGTGGGTGAGTGAGATTGAGTATAATCATCCCTATGACTTCCCGTTTGAGGAGGAGAATAGGAAGCCGTTTGCTCTGGGGAATAATATTTTTGATTATGGCAGGAGTTTGAGATTATAATTATTATTGTAATAAATTAAGCATGCGCTTGTGACTGAGTCAATCGAGTTATACGGTTGTTGTCTGGCCGCTATTATAATTGTAATTGCAATAAAACTTTGCATGAAGGAAGTATTGAATGCAACATATTATTATAGAGAATTAGTCTAATTTTCCCTGAGTTTGCAGACTTGGAGTACGCTAACTTGATTATATGTACCACTTTAAAATAGTGTAATTATACATAAATCATCTTCCATTTTCACTTTATACATACATAATTTTTAAAGTCGGTTTTTGTTGTAATCAACTACATTTCGGTCAAATTTTCACTAAAAATAAAAAATAAGCTTAAAATTTTTAAGTTCAAAGTGCGTGAGTTGTATCCAAACAAGAACTAAACGCTAAAAGGATCAGTCAAGCGCATTCATTATGAATTTTTTTATGGGTAATTTTGGGTTAATTTTAATTAAAAATGGACTGTGGTGGTTGAATACAATAAGAACCAACTTTAAAAGTGGTTTTTATATATTCTGAAAATAAAATATGGTTTCCCTATAATCTTCCTATTTTTAAGGTGGTTTCTCAGGAAAGGAACCCTTATCTATGCCTCCTCTTTTATATATTTCTTATTAGATGTAAGAATTTTCAGTATTTGCTATAGTCAAACTTCTCTACAGGAACTATTGTGGTTTTCCTATACAAAATGAAAATCCGAAAAAGATGATAAAGCATGGAAAGGAATTGATTTCCTTGTGTTTTTCTTCTGTTATTTACTGTAATAAACCGAGTGATTATGAATATATTGATTGATTTGTTTAGACCAACAGTTGAGCTTTTTGTAACGCTTTTTCGTTGTGTACTTTTTCGTCAGTGTTATCCTGTTCATGTTATATAACTCACAAGGTCTCTCTCTCTCTCTCTCTCTCTCTCTATGCATTCATTGTATTAATGATGCCATAAATACATAATTTATTTTTAGATTATTGGATTTGAGGATCTCTTAAATATTAATTATATTTGAATTCTATTTTTTATGAATTTTAAAATTAGTGAGTCATGTTAAGTATCAAATAGTTGATCCACAAAAGTAGGATATTTTCCTATAAATCATAAAAAAAAATTATGAGTTTTTGTGGCCCCTACTTATTTGTGCTTAGTAGTATAAATCATGTATGATAAACAACTAAATAATTAATATGAGTTGAACTGGGTCTCTTTTTTTAATTAGTGAAATACTTCATGTACAATTTGTTGCTAGGTTTAATTTTTTTAATAAAAATCCTGATGTTATCAGGGCCTATAAACTCACAAAGCACGATATACTATGTGAACATCAAATTATATCTAAAAATTTAAGATTAAATTGGTACTATAAAGTTTCGTTAATTCAGTATAATGCTCTGAGGCACACGATATGTGCATGACACAAAATACGGGAAAATATTGTAAGCAAATTGTCAAGGAAATGGATAAATATCATTTTAAATGTTTTTTTTTTTGGATTTTCCAAGTTAAAGTCATTTCTGTGCCCCCCCCCCCCCCCTTGTGGCATACACCCTTTGTGGGGTTATTTTTGCTGATTTTTTAAGTGAAAAAACATTTAGAATTAGTTTTTTTTGGAAAATTTGCTTCATGGCCTGTTTGGATGGAGGGTAGAGAGGGGGAAGGGAAGAGAAATTTTATTTTAACCTTGTTTAGGAGTTTCATTGAGGAGGGTAGAGGAGGAGAATGAAGGAGAAATTTGGCCCAAATTCTTACACTCCAAATTGGGGTGTAATGGAAGGGAAGGGAAGGAAGGAGAATTTTTTTCCCCTTCCTTCCCCTTCCTTCCCTTTCCTAAGTAAACTCCCAAACACATCATCAAGGTCTCAAAATTTAAGTTTCAATATGTCCTGCCCCCCTAAATTCCCCTAATGTACTGCAGCCCTTATAATTTGAAAAAATTGTGTCCAGGCCCCTCTCCCCAAGTTCCAATGTAACATTCTTCAAAATCCCGATTTTACCCTCTCCCCTACACCTCCCTCCTCTCCTCTCTTCCGGTCCCCCTCAGCCCCCTCCCTGCCTCCCTCCTACACTCCCCTCTCCTCCCCCGTCCCTCCCCACCTCCTCCTCAGCTCCGCTCCCTCCCCTCCCTCGCCTCCCTCCTAGACCTCCCTCCTCCTCCGGTCCCCTCAGCCTCCTTCCTGCTCCCTCCTCCTCCTCCGGTCCCCCTTAGCCCCTCCCCTGCGCCCTCCTCCCGCTCCGCCTCCTCCCCTCCCCCACTTCCTCCCCCGCGTCCACCTCCTCCCTCCCCTGCCTCCCTCCGCAGCTCGCCTCCCTACCCTCCCCTCCCTCCCTCCCCCGCTCCACCGTTGGCGCCGTTCTGAGGAACTTCGCGTCTCATGTTAACTATTATAGTTAACATGTTAACTATTTAGGTAACATGTTAACTATTACAGTTCACACATTGAGCTCAAAACATATTTATGAAATTATAATAGTTAACATGTTATCTATAACAATTAACATGTTATCTATAACAATTAACATGTTATTTATAATAGTTAACATGAGCTGGGATGAGCTGGCATGAGAAAGAGAAAGGGTAAAATTAGAATTTTAGGAGCTGATATGTCTAATCATGAGCTGGCGTGTCTAATCATGAGTTGGAATCATGATGGAGGGCCCTGGACACAATTTTTTCTAAAAAAAAGGAGATGTAACACATTTAAAAAAATGTGAGGGGTTGGAGCACATTGAAACTTGAATTTTGGGGCCTAGAAGCAATTTTTCCTAGTTTTTTTTTCAAATATAAGAGTATTTTTGTAATTCTAAAAGTGTGGCTCAGGATGACCAAAAAGAGGAACTTTCATAATATATAGTACATATATGGATAGGATGGTATATTACATAAAATTCTTATTCAAATACAACATAAATTAAAAAATTTATTTTAAAGTCTAAGGTTCCAAAATCTAGTACATAAATGCACCATATTAATACTTGAATAACTTATTTCTCAAAAATAAGGGAAAAAAAGAGAGGAAAAAAAACTAAACTAAACTAGCCAAAACCTTAAATAATAAAAAAGATGTACTTTTCAGTAATTTAAACCAAAAAGGAATTCTGGATCAATCCTAAACCGACTAATAAAGGATGGCGTAAATAAATCCTATATAATGAGAGTCGGATCGGGTAAGCCCAAGGAACCCTATATCCTCTTCCTCTCTCTAAACCCTTAACCGGTGACGGCGGATCCCCTTAGCGAATTGGGCCCAGCGATATTCGAATCCGATATCGAACTTCCCTCCCTCCACCGTCCTCAACGTAAGCCTTCAAACTCTCTCCCGCCTTCTTCTCAAAACCCTAGATTCGATGTTGCGGACTTTCTTCTAGGGTTTTAGCAGCTTCGCGATTCTTGATAAAACCCTAGGGTTTAAGAAAATTTTGATATGGTTTAGCTCTGATTTGTGATAAGATCATGTAAAAATTTCTTCTTGTTGGAAATTGATTGATAGTTTTCTTGGTGTTTGCAATTTTCTTCTAGGGTTTAGGCAGTTCTTTGATGACACTATCATAGGGTTTAAGGTCCATTGTAAAATTGGACAGAACAACCCTAAGATTTAATGGCTATTTATCGTAAACATATTTTCTTGTTCGCAATTGATTTATACGGATAAAATGCTGATTTATCGCAAGGTCATCCTAAAATTGTTGTGCACAAATAAAAATCCCTTCTTGTTTGCAGTTGATTGATGAGATTTGATGTTGCTTTATCACAAGCTCATGCTAAGATTGTTGTGCACACATAAAAAGCTCTTCTTGTTTGCAATTGATTGATAGGATTTAATGTTGTTTTATCCTAAGCTCGTGCTAAGATTGTTGTGCACAGATAAAAATCTTTTCTTGTTTGCAATTGATTGATAGGAGTTAATGTTGTTTTATCATAAGCTCATGCTAAGATTGTCGTGTGCACAAATAAATTAAAAAACTTATCGTTTGCAATTGATTGATAGGATTTAATGCTGGTCATGCTATAATTGTTGTGCGCAAAGAAAAATCTCATTTGTTTTCATTTGATTAATAGTTTGGATATTTCTTGAATTATTCTAATAACAGCATGACTGAAACTGTTGAGATGGATGCAAACGGTACACACAATGAAATTGCAGTCCACATGGCTGGTAATGAACCGGCATCAAGAAGAAGATTGAGATCATTAGTATGGAACGATTTCGCCAAAGAAAGGAAACCGGATGGGAATTATGTCGCAATCTGTAACCATTGCAAGAAGCAGTTTTCTGCTAGCAGCCGCAGTGGCACCACCCACTTAAAGAACCACCTTGTGACTTGCACCAGCACGAAAGTTCGCAAGAGAAGAAAATTGACTGTTAGGAGATTTGGCTCGAAAGATGACACAAATGACGGGGCTTCTGATATTTCTCCATTTGATCAAGAATTGAGCCGACGTGATTTTGCCCGGATGGTTGTGATGCATGCTTTTCCTTTTACTATGATTCATCATGCTGGTTTCAAGGCATTTGTTAAGAATCTCCAGCCTCAGTTTACGTTTATGTCTGATGATGTTGTTAGGATGGACTGCATGAATATTTACGAGGGCGAAAAGGTTAAATTGCGGGAATTTCTTGGGAAACTTCCTTGTAGGGTTAGCCTCAGTGTCGATATGTGGAGGTCGAATGAGGATGTGGAGTACGTGTGCTTAACTTGTCACTATATTGATGATGATTGGAAGCTTAAGAGGAAGATTCTTAACTTTTTGCATGTTGAGACTTCAATTTCAGGGGAAGATATTGCTAAGATTATTGTAGAGAGACTGCTCGATTGGAATCTATATGGGAAGTTGTTTAGTGTTATTTTGGATAATTGCAATGAGAGTGACGTGGTGGCTAAAGATCTTCGCGAGTTTGTGCTGTTGAAGAGTTTTTTCCCGTTGAATGGCGAATTTTTTCACGTGCAGACTGCTGCATCAGTAATGTATGCAATTGCACAAGATGTGCTTTGTTTAGTGAATGATATAGTTAGTAAAGTGCGAGATACTGTGCAACATGTGAGGTCTTCACAAACCAAGCTCGATGCTTTTCAGATTGCAGCAGGAAAGGTTGGAGCCCCTCAGAAACCGTTGATTTGTGATGATCAGAATAATTGGATCACAACATACTTGATGCTTGAAACTGTGTGTGAATACCAAGCTGCATTCACTTGCTTGGCAGAGTGTGACAGTGAACACATGAGTTCATTATCTTCAGAGGAGTGGGATCTTGCTAAAGCTGTCACTGAGTGCCTTTATGTATTTTATCATGCGATAGAGAAATTCTCAGAGACGAAGATTCCTACGTCAAACCTTTATTTTAATGATTTATGTGGTATCCATCTGCTGATAAAAACTTGGAAAGCGAGCAACCTTCCTGTTATTGCAACGATGGCTACTCAAATTCTTGAAAGTTTTGAAAAGAAGTGGGAGTCAACGGTTCTTCTTTTGGCAATCTCTTCTATTCTTGATCCTCGATACAAAATGAAGTCAATCGAGTATTTCTTCAATAATATTTATGATGATGAGTGTAAAGCCAATGAGAAGATTGACAAGGTCCGCCAGTATTTAGGAAAGCTCCATGATCACTATGCAGAGCGTTCAAATAATATATCCAATAACCAAGCATTTCTTTGCTATGATGAGAATAATAACAGTTGTAGTGTTGAACTTAAAACTGGTTCAGAATCAAAAAATTCTTCTCGCACATTGTTCGATGCACGTAGGGGACTTGATCAGTATCTACAAGAGACCTCATCAAGTCAACAGCAAATATCAGATTTGGAGTTGTATTTGGATGAAGCTGTTTATCAATGCAAAGGTTCTGAGGACAATTTCAACATTTTAGCTTGGTGGAAATTTCATGCAGCAAAATATCCTGTCCTTTCTATAATGGCTCGTGATATTTTGGGAATTCCTGTGTCAATTGTTTCAATAGACGGTGAAAATAGAGTGCTTAATCAGTATTATAGTTCTCTGGACCCAGTGACTGTTCAAGGATTGATCTGTGGACAGGATTGGCTAAGAGAAGAATTTGAAGGTAAAACCAACATCTAAAAATGACCTGTTACCATATATATAATTCTTTTTCATTTCATAGATTGTTTGATAAGTTTAATTGCGCTTGTGTGGCTCAAGTAGAACTGTATATAATTCGTTTTCATTTTATAGATCGTTTGCTAAGTTTAATTGTGCTTGTCTAGTTCAAGCAGAACCGCCAGCACCAGCAGATGATATTGCCACTGTTCCAGTAGCTGCTAAATATGATAGTGATGTCGATGAGCGCATGAT